ATCTTCTGCGATATCCGCCAGGAACTCATCACGTGTTTTCGCGTCAAGTAACGATGAACACTGCAATGAACATTTTTTTCAAAAAATATAGCTAAAATTNGAATATCCTCGGATATCCCCTGTTCGGATACTTCCCTCTCAGCTGCCAAACGTCGAATAACGGTTTCCAGTCGATGTACTCCACCAAAATATTCAAATCGAACTCGTTGAACGCTCGAGAGCCCAGGAATTTCGGCGTAACTGCATTCATTTATATCATTATTATCATCACTCTCATCACAAATATAACCAAAAAACAATCCCCTACCTGGTGTATAGCAGCTGAAATCCACCTTCGCCACCCTATTTCTGGCCTCATCCAATTTTATGAAACGTCTCTCCTTCAACGACTCGTAGTGCTCTTGTCTCACCTCCTCGTAATCTTCTGCGATATCCGCCAAGAACTCATCACGTGTTTTCGCGTCAAGCAACGATGAACACTGCAATGAACATTTTTTTCAAAAAAATATGGCTAAAATTTTTAGAATAAACCAAACAAAATGAAAAACAAATAAATAACAACAAGAAATCCTACCACGACAACGCTTTTCGACGCGTCTAGACAGTGGACCACCGGGCCACTGCGATACTTTTTCCAAATTTTAACTGCTGTATGCGTTTTCGACGTTGTCGCACCACCTGTCATCAATAATTTCATTAATATGAAAACATTAATATTAATAATATACAATCACAATAATAATAATAACAATAATACTAAATGAAAATGACAACAAACCTATCAACAGGGGTATTGTCAGACCCTGCCGTTGCATCTCTTGCGCCACATGAACCATTTCATCCAGCGAAGGTGTTATCAGCCCCGACAGCCCAATAAAATCTGCAATTTAATTATCATTACTATTACCAGCATCATCACAATCATCATTATTGCTCAATAATTAATGAATCCAACTCACCAGCCTTATTCTCGATCGCTGTCTGAATAATCTTCTCACACGGGGTCATCACCCCGAGGTCTATCACTCT